CCGCGTTTCGCCCTTTGTGATCCTCGTTCGCTCTGCCGGTTCGCACGATGGCTACGCCGCCCAACGCCGAAACGGGCGTCTAAGAGCTGTGCTCTAGAAATTAAAAACGAGGACGCAATGTTGCCAACCACATCGTTTTCGTACTGACCTAGTCATTGATCTGAGTATGAAAGTGCGCACCAAGCGTATCTTACCCCACGAGCTGTGAAATTCTGGAAGTTCTTGATATAAGCATACTCCAGGAAATCCAGGTCCTTGATGAGGAGAAATGGGACGTCGCCGTTATAGAACCTGTTTAGGTTAGGTACAGTAAGATGACAATTGCTTCACGTACACTGAACTTGCTACATGTTACCAGCAAGTGCTGATGAATGCTACGAGATTTAATTAAAAAGCATTATAGGGCCCGTGAGTCCTTCCCACATCCGTGTTTCTAACCAAATGGTTCAAAAAGAAGTTTCTGTTATAGTCATTCATTCAATTATGCCTTATTTATTTCAGCAACAACAAAATAAGTGAACGATGTAGCACAGTTACAACAACATTTATGACAACAGCACAAAATTTAATGTTCCGCACAGAAGAAATACCAATGTCCCTATCATTAGGTGGTGCGTGTGTTACAACTATTTTATTCATATAGCAGCTGGCCTATACGTAATTCAGTAGATTATAGCAGCTTTATGTCAGTGATTTAGAGAGAGAGAACTCTTTATTGAAATGCAGAGAATTTAGCCGGCATGTGAAATTCGCTGACTTGCTACTGTGCGTGTGGAAGGGGATCGATGATTGAAAGTACAAATAAGAAGAAAGAGAGAAAAAAAGACATATTGTGAATACAGGTGATAGAATAAAAAGAAATAAAGGAAAAGGCCACCTCTTTGACCATTGAATGAGGACCTGCGTTAATAGTTTTTTCGTGGTGTCAAGCTACAGCTACTGCTTGTCTAGCTGACCGATGCTGCCCAAGTACGAAAACAAAAGTTTCATAGCACGTTTCTGTAAAGTGGGACAGGCTAAAGGTCCCAATGCACAGTCAATGGAGAAAGTTCTCTTGGTTATAGAATGCATGCAATGTTTATAGAGCACACGCTCCTCAGCGTACGCTCTACACTCAAACAATATATGTTCTACAGATTCGATGGAACCGCAGTTGTTGCAATTCAGACTCGCTGACTGACCGAAGCTGTACCGTAGGCTGTTAACATAACTGTTTAGACGTAGACGATGGTATAGCGTTTCCAGATGGCTAGCGATTTTTAATGAGAGTCTTGTTTTTAGATAGAGGTCGATTGAGGCATAATGATGTGTCGAAATATTCCAGCATCTCTTTAATTCTTTCAACCGCAAGTGTTTTCGCCATCTGGGCTGCATCCAATTTAGTGAAATAAATTTGTCTGTAATTGTGGTGTCAAAGACCCTTGCGTGCTGCTTTATCTGCTTTTTTCGTTGACGGAAATTCTTCAATGAGCCGGTATCCACTGAAATGTGATAGAGTTCCCTGCGGTCACAGCCAGGTGATGTAGATATGCTATGTTGAACGAAATGGGGCGACAATTCGTTTTATTTAGGAGGTTGAACAATATCTGTAGTGTTTCTTTGGAGCCAGTGAAAATTACCCATCAGTCCGGCGTTTGGCGTAAGATGTAGAGGACAGCTTCTTTGATGCCATGAAGTTCTGCTGCTGTCGAGGATGTCTTCCGTTGCAGCCGACAGGATAGCATTTGTCTTGTAGAAGGGATATAAAGTCCATAAGCCCAAGTCTCCTGAGTGGTCGAGACGTCGGTGTAAATGTGCGAGTGCTGAGCATAGTTCTAGGCTAAAAATAGGAGAGTAGTCTGCATCAGCGCAGCTTCTGACATTCGTCTCTTTGCCCCATTGACGTCATGTACAGCTTTTGTTAAAGTTAGAGGTGAAAGTGTCCAGGGAGGAAATGCTGCAGGCATTATTTTTGTGGCTGATTAACAGGAGAGAGTTGAAGCATTCTCACAGCTTGGCCGAACGAAGAATTGCTGTGTGTTAGGTGAACTTGGTACAAGAAATGCTTTTTACTTTGTAATACATGTCGAAGATGTGTACGCATGGTCTCTTGTATAGACATAACATCCAGTGGGAGACGTCCTGCTTCCGCTACTGTTCCCGATGCTGATGAGCTCTTCGCGAGCCCTACACATATTCGTAGGCAGTTGTTGCGGGCGGCTTCCAAAATTTTCCTATTTGCTGGGGATAATCGGTGAAGCACCGGTAGACAATAGCGTAATGTTCCTTCAATGTATTCTTTCTGAAGCAGTACCATTGTGCGGCCACTACATCCCCATCGTGTTCCAGCCATGAATTTGAAGAGTTGAGTGGCTGCTACTATTCTAGTTTGAAGTTTCTTCACCAGAGGAGACCAGAAAAAATTTTTGTCGATGATGATTCCCAGGAATCTTTGAGACCGTACATAAGTCAGCGGCCGTCCACTGAGGAGTGGCGCGTACTTGCTCATTTTCTTTTTCGTGAAAGCAATGACTGGGCTCTTTTCTGGGGAAAGGTGCATGCCTCGGGGCGCTAAATAAGTGGAGATGTTCTGTAAAGCTTTTTGAAGTCGCTGTTTGGTGATGTAACGTGACCTTGAAGCGCTCTAGATGCAGATGTCATCAGCGCAAATCGTGATGTGTACTCCTCGAGGGAGTGATTCCATAATGTGTATGAGGGTAAGGTTGAAAAGGGGCAGGCTCAGCACGGTACCCTGGGGTTACACCCTTCTCTACTGTATAGAACTGTGCGGGACTAATTAGAGTGCTCATATATATTTTCCGCTCTTTTAGATAGTGCTCAATTCATTTGTACAGATTCCCTTCTAGGCCAAGATCTTTTATGGTTACAAGAATGGCATGGTGAAGAACTGAGTCCAAAGCTGTCTCAATGTCAAGGAATACGGCTGTCGGGAGTCGACCTGCCGAGAAGTTCTTTTCAAGGGAAGAGAAAAGTGCGATGACATTGTCGATAGCCGACCTGCCTTGCCGGAACCCATTCATTTCTTGCGGAAACTCGTTGTGGCTTTCTAGGAACCAGGTAAATTGTTTGTGAAGCATTCGCTCCATGCGTTTGCCAACGCAACTCAGTGAGGCGAGAGGCCGGAAAGAGGTGTAGCTTGTTGGCTGCTTACCAGGTTTCAAAATGAGCACTATTTTCACCAGCTTCACTCGGCGGCGACCACTCCAGACATCCACAAGGAGTTATAATATTCTAGGAGTCGTAGGCGGGACGCGTGGGGTAGCTTTGTAATGGCTTCATAGGTTACTTCGTCATGGCCAGGTGATGTGGGCCTGTTTGAGTCACCTATAGCACTGTTCAGTTCCTCAATTGTAAAAGGTATGTCTAGCGCTGGCACTGCCAACCGAGAGTTGCCAGGCTGGTTACCTGCAGATGCGGTCAAAAGCGTTGAATTTGTTGATAGTAGTGCGCAATATCCTTCTGAGAGCTCTTTGAGGGATTTTCGTTCGTGCAGGGAGAGTGCGGTGAAAGGGTGAAGCTGCTGGAGTGGCATGCGCATGCCTCTAAAAACCCGCCAGATTTTGGACACAGGTTGGCGAACACCTAGTGTTGAGCAAAAATCACACCTACGTTTATCCAGGTAGCGCTGAATATGACGCTGTGTCCGTCGACAGGCTCGGAGGTCTTCTAAACACTTTGTGCGATGAACTTTCCCTTCAGCTTGCCTGCGAATAGCACACAGTCTCATCATTCCTCTCCTCATCACTTGATGGAAGTCTGTCGTTTTTAGTTGAAACTTGTGTGCATTCTTTTAGGCAATGAGCCATCGTAGCGAGTAATTCATCATCCTTTGTAGCGGCAGTGATTCTCTTTCCTGGTGCGTCTTTGTACGCCTTCCAATCTGTGGATCTCATGATGTTTCTCTTTGATGTCATATTTACACCAGCAGCTGGTATCATGATTGAGTAGTGATCACTCCCACAAGTTTCCAAGTCGGTGCACCAGTCAAAGTTGCGAGCGACTGAACATGTTATGAAGGTCACGTCGATGCTGCTGGTAGTCGTAGTGCCTCATAGGAAGGTGATGCTGCCATCATTTAGAGGTTCAATTGAATGTTTTTATAGCAGCTCTGCAAGCTTAGCTCCTCGAGAACAAGTGTGTGAGCTGCCCCAAATTTCATTGTGGGCATTGAAGTCTCCACAAATAATGTCTGAAGAAGGTGTCCTTTAAATCAAGTTTTGAAGCCTTGAAGCGTTGGAAGGCCTGCCTTGTTCCAGGTATGCTCCGTTGAGAGTGTATTCCTGTTTACCTAAGATCGTTATGGAATACACATATTCGTTGTCGCAGTGGGGCGCGATGTCGATCGTGGAGGCTGGAATGTGTTTACGAAAGCCACTGAGTAATCTGCTGAGACCGTAAGGTCGCTTTGAGTAATGAAAATAGTACCCGTTCATCCTAAAATTTGGGTCGACGCGTGATTCAGAAATGACGACGAATGGGAATCGGTATTCTCGCACCAGTCGCCGGAAGTCTGTGAGCTTTGAGCGAAGGCCACGAGCGTTTCACTGGAATATGGTGCATGTGCGGAAGATTCTGTGAATGGTCGGTTCAGGTGAAGATGTCGTTGGGGAAGCCATGATTACTAGTTCGAGGGAGAACGACCCGGTGGAGCGTAAGACGTCGACACCAACGGCTCCATTGTAAGAATTGCTTCTACCTCTGGGATATTTCTTGACGAAGGATTTCCGCAGAGAGCTTGAGAGCTGCGAACAGCATTGGAATCACTATGCGTGCAAAATCTAGGTCTGTGTTTCCGTGTTGTTGCCCTTCGCAGATCCCCCTGTCGTGTTGCGGTTGCTGAGACTGGTGACGACTGTACTAGACCGATGAATCTTGTGAGACGCTTTGTGGTGGTTTTGAAAGATGCGATGTGCCAGTCGGCTTCCCACGTTTCTTTTTCGTCACATCAGCGTACGTGTCACCAGTTGCCTTACGGCTTTGTGATGATCATTCCTGGAGAAGTCTTTCATATTCGTGAATACAACTTCTGGATTAGGCGGTGTACATTGCGCCTTGGTGGTTTCCCTCGTGCTTGCCTCGACGAGCGTGCAAGTGTAGCAGCCTTCTTTTTAACGCACGCTCCATACGAAGCAAGGTGGCACCACCGCAGTAAGCAAATTGAGGTTGTGCTCTTGAGGTACACTTTTTTTGCGAATGAGGACCAGCACAGACTTTATAGCGCACCAGGCCATTGCAATGACTCGATATATGACTATGCCTCTGACATTTAAAACACTGTGTAGCTGCCCCGATGTATTCGGCCACCGGATAGCTACAGAACTCAAGCGTAACTCGTTTAGGTATTGGTGAATCCTTGGCGACTTGCAAAATAACGGATCGACGACGTACCTCTTTCACCTTGCCGCCATCTTCGGGTGTGTAGGTGGTGAGTTGTCTTGCCAACACGACGCCCTGATCACGCAGATAGTCTTGTAAGTCTTCATCTGAGTAACTCAGAGGGACATCTTCTATTTTCCCATAGTTCGCTGTGTAAGATTATGGGAACCGGGCTTCCACTGGCATGCCTGCTAATTCAGTTACCGTTAGTAGACGGTTAGCGGCCGGCAGGGTCGACACGTGACCATCAGGCTTCCGTCTTTGTTAAGGCAAAGGTTAAAAACTTTCTCTTGAGCCGACGTTACAACGGCTGATGCGAGAATGTTGAGGGTTGAATTTCCATAAGCTTCCTCCATTCGTGGGTGGCCTGAAGATAACAGGGACGTCAGTACCACTTTTTTTCTTGTAGCATACAACTGTGAAGGATGCCTGGTCCATATCATCTGCATTTTCATCTGAATGATCAGAGCCGTCTTGTTCGTCCCGTAGTCTCTTGTTTTCAAGGCCATGGTCTGTAGTTTCTTCTACAGAGGCTCCAGGAGTAGTAGTAGCTGCCGTTGCCATAGATGCGGCGTCGAGTGCATCTGGCGGCAATGTTCCGTGCCGTGACGGGTAAGGCACAGGCCGTCTAGAAGTCCGTTTGACGTGCTTTTCCGGGTGGGCGGGGACCTCCAAGTGGTCACGGTGTGAGTACGAAGCACAAACAAGTAATAAAAATTATTAGATTGGGCAAAATAGCGAAACATTACGAACTGATATAACACAGGCAGTGCTTCAGAACAACATCGTCGTCTTCCCCCCAGTGATTTAGGACAATGCAACAGTTTTACGACAGCAATTAAAAGTATTGCTGCGCACTTTTTGTCAAATGGCTGAGCTCTGTTTATCATATTCTTGCACTTGGTTTGTATTGTCAACGAGCATATCTTCGCGTACTTGAGTACTTTAGTTATTCTCACTTTTTCCACAACAGTTTTCCAGTTCTCGTGGCCTCCACTTTTTTATTAGAACAATCAGGTTATGCTGATAATATCTAAGTTGTCTACGTTGTGAAGAAAATATGGAGTGGCTTCCTTAATAAACATGATCACTATGACGATAAGAATATTTTTGATGCTTTCACTTGCAATTGCTACAAAGTAATTAAGTAGTATCCTTTCAAAATCATGATGCATAGCGGCGCCTAATAACGATTCGCTATCCTAGTGCCGCTTTAAGGTTTACGAGCATGATGACATATTGGCCACGGTATTTCCGTAGGACAATAGAATCTTTTTTCACTGCATACCTGTATTAAAATTCAAATATTTATCAGTGCAACTTGCAACCTCCGCGAAATTATCCAAGATAGCTGCATCAGCTTCATCATCCAGTAAAAAAAAGGAAAAACTAGAATTTTTAGGAAATTATTAAGTTTCTAACAAAATAAATAGATGTGCATTTTATTGTTCTACAAATATTACAGTACCGCTTGTAGGTTCCGCGAGTGCTAGAAGCTCTGACAGTAAACGTGACGTCAAGAACATAAACTGCGTAAGCAAGGGACGCATAGATTGAAGGTGACATTCTCTGTGCGCCTCTTATCCTCTTATTATTCTGTTTTCGCACAAATGCACTATAAGTACTGTGTATACCTGATCACTGCATATCTACAACGGGTGCTCAACTACATTCACTTCTTTATTCATGTTCATCGTTTCTGCTTCTTCTGGTACGCCTGCTGCTGTTTCTTTTGCACATTACAATAACGTGGTGTAATACGATATCTTACCCGCAGATGTCCCCGTATTCCTTGCACCATTTATCCAGCGCTTTGTGCAGCCCCTGTTGAGAATGAAAATACAGCATTACTTCTGTAACTTTTCCGTACTCACAACCATTTTGATCACTACAAACACGGGCATAACATATTCACTTCTCTATCTTTCAATGTCTCGTAATCGCAAACTTCTTGGGCATGCTAAATGGAATCTCCAAAGCAGCCTTCTTCAAACACAGAACCGGTTAACCAGGCAAGAAAGTATCAGTAAACTAAAATTTCAAGTTTCTTTCGCTCATTTTATTCCTTCAATGTTCTTACATAGAGCATAATTCGAAAGAAAGGTGCCAGACTAAATATGATTTTCCTTCTACATTCGACTCGGTTGGGCATGATGCCAAAACATGCTGTGTATATTGCTTTGAAATTACCTAATACGCAAATCAAAGAGAAAACAAATAGAAAAAAAACTAGCAAGCTTGTACTTGCCAGTCCTCTCGCATTACAGAAATTACTTGTACCGTGACCTGAGAAGATTAAAAGAATATTCAGCAAAAGGCATATATCTTCCTCAAACACTTTGTAGTCAACACGAGACTAGGTTAACCACCTGTTAAGAGTGGCATACATGTCGCTACAAACGTAATGATACATAAGTCCGTACACTGTGGGCAGAACTAGAAATGCGTGCTAAAAGACGATTTGTTCCAATGTAAACTTCTGCGAGTGTCACCGTGTTCTGTGTTGTTTTAGTTCACTTTATGTTCTTTTCTTTATGTCCTTACTTTTTTATTTTGAGTAATCACATTTCTTTCGCTTCAGAACATTTATAAGTGCGTAGCTGAAGTAATATAAACTTCAATCTCTACATGGCAAACCATATAAAACAGATCAAAACAGAACATACGAAGAATAATTAGTGCCTATTCAAAACGACGTCACGTGAAACCGGTGCATCATAATAAAAACGATTGCCTTTCTTGAGGTTCTTCAACGCAAAAGTTTTGGTCTGTCTGTATCATTGTCTGTTCGTCTGCCGAAACGATACCCAAACGGCTACACAATACCTCAAATGGCCAAACTCCATCCGCAGCACCCACCAATATTGCTGAAGCTTCAATGTTTACAGTCGTGCAATTGTCAATTAAACAACGATTATTGCGCATATCTGAGGCACCATAACAACAAGTCAATATGTTTTATGTGTGCCAAGAGCAGGCATACATAAGTAATTCTTGAGACCGTAGCATTTGTCAGGCTGCGCTGTCAATGCAACAGGATGTTCATAAAGGCAAGTCTTTCCAACGCTTCGCTAAGACGGCAAGGTGGTGACACCTGCCCGTCGCTTTGCGTTGTACACCTTATAGCCTCCAAGACGGGCGCGCACTGCTTCCTTCGTTTGCGAAGATAACTGCCAGATAGCGCTCGTGCCTAACGTGCTTCGATGCGCTCGTTCGCCTTCGCTGCACGGATCGAGGCACTCTAACGCCGCGCCTCCAGAACACTATTCACCAATTTTTTGGCGCATAACATCAAATAAACGTTTTTTTCACTCTCTTCCGACGCAAGACTCGTCTTTGGGCGACAATTGCAGTGAAACATGCAGATACGGGGCCAATGTTTTTTTTTTTTTTTAGTGTATATGCAACTCTACGCAGTGCAAGTGGAATTTTCTGCCGAAAGGTGGCCTGTCTTAGTGCGGGAATTAACAGGCAAGAACAAAAACCAAAGCTGAGAAGAGATAAGCTGCAGTTGAGAGCATTGGTTTACCATACCCCGTGTGGGCTCTGTAACTCATACCGAGTGCTTGGCACAAGCGGTACTTTGTTTCGCGCCTGCTACTATGCGGCATCACCATCCTGAAAAACAAACATATGTATCACGGCCTGCAGCGGAAGGTCGTATTTCTTGCGCTGCCGCTGCAATTACGTAGACATTATTCAGGTCAAATTTAAAGAAACACTGTTTTTATTAACAACTATTGTGATAATGGACAACACTTCATTTTAAATAATGCCAATATAACTGCTGATTGAATGAGAGAGCCTTTAGTTTTATGAATAATAATGTTTACTAGGGATAGCAAAGTATAATTTAGCGTATATACACATGTCAAACTATGCGTAGTGCAGATTACAACGGATACTAAATGATTTTTATTTCTCTAATGAAGATATCATAAGAAAGGTATGCGCGTAAAATGCTTACCAAGGAATGATACTCCCATAGATTACCCCAGATCAGATTGGGTTCTGGTCCAGGAATTCCAAGTTCTTTGAAATATGAGAACTTCTTTTTACGCCATCTGTTTGGACGACCAATGAATAATGAGACATTCTATTACGAAAGTAAAAAGACTGGCTTCAACCCTTTTGGAGCACAAACATAGGAAGAGGGCGATATATATTTTTCAGAAAATAAACCTTCTTAAATGGTTTATATATAGCCGCAAATATTGGTAGTCATTGGTCACAGTGCGTAAATTATTCGTTGCATACTTTCTCATTGCACCAATATCAATTTAAAAGGATGGAAGAGTGGTGTGATCAGTTTGTAATTTTTTAAACATGACGAGTCACGGTTATCGACCGCTATTACTACTTTGGAGTGCGTCTGTTCGTAAGAGACAGTAATCTGAAGAAGTGCACAATTTTGACATCATAAAGAGAAGTAATAAGGCTCAAAACTCGTAAGGCTCAAAAGTTTTAACTATTCGCTATGTGTTTATTATAAGACAAGAGCACAAACTTTAAAGCTCGCGCAGAGGAATTGTCGGGTATGCTGAGCAATCGCTCAGCTAAAATACACAGAGTAGCCCCCTTCTTTCTCCCGTCAATTTCATCCAGCCCCATTGCGCGCAGTGCAAAACGTAGGCATCTCAGTGGTTGTGCAAAGGCATTGCTCTGAATATTCAGAGCTAATGTTTTCCCGAATTAACATGGCAGTCTTCAGCAGTTGTTGTGTGCCGTTCTCCTCTGAATACTGTTCGTCTCATAAAGGCTGAAAGGAAACCGTATATTTATCAGCCCTTAAACTTTACGTGTAAAATTACACACGTATCGCAGTGGAGCATCGTACAACGCAAGCGCATAGAAAATTACACTCTGATAAAGAAGTAGCTACCCTGGTCATGTCGTGGAAAAGCAAGTTCAGGCAGGACTATCCGTCATGTAGCGTGTTGGTGAGCGCTTCCACTCGTCGGTCATCCTCGATAGAGAGTTTTAGTTTATTTATTTATTTATTTATTTATTTATTATACCCTCAAGGCCATGGGCATTGAAGAGGGGAGTGGGAGTAACAAGATGTACAAAACATAGAAAAAACAGAGCATGTGTTTAAATAGAAAAAACATAGATTATCCTGATTATACAATATTAGCTAATGCTTGATGAAACAGGTGATTAACGCGTATGGAAACAACATCGGCGGGAAGGTGGTTCCACTCTCGGGATGTTTTTGGAATGAAAGACTCAGCAAAATATTTAGTGTTAGATGAAACAACTCCAACTTTATGATTATGGTCAATTCGACATGATATGTACTGAGGTTGTGAAAGCAGTTCAGCATGGAGAGAAGCATGGTAATAAATCTTATGAAATAAAGTTAGGCGAAAAATGCGACGTCGTGATGCTAAGGATGGGAGGTCAATACTACTTTTCATTGCCGTTACACTTGCCGTTCTGTTGTAATTTGATAGTATGAAACGGGCTGAATTATTCTGAACAAGTTCAAGTGCGGTGAGTAAGTTGTCGTGGCAAGGATCCCATACTGGTGTTGCATACTCTAGTTTTGATCTGATTAGCGTTTTTAGTCCACGCAAGGCTCTACGTGCGCAACGTGCTGCGCGCTGCGTACGCTACAGTATACGTTTAAGGCTGCGTCCTACAGCATTAGCTTACCGTGCGCAACATCTGAAACATGTACTGCACCTGAGCGCCAACAGGCCTGCCTTTGAATGTTGCTTTACGCCATCTTGTCGAGAGGCAAGAAGTTGTAATAACTGATATTTTTCAAAGCAACACACGAGTCAAGGCGTGAGACAAGGCATATTTTTGGAGGACGAGTGCTGGTTTGGGGTGTTCAAGCATTAGGTCAACTAGCAACATGAAGGACAGGGATGGCGAAGACGATCGCTTACTGCCAATGTAACACTCGTTTGCTGCAGGCGCTTTCTAAGATCATGAGACAAAAAAAAGCATTTAGCTGGTGTTGCTTAACGCTAAATAGGAAAATGTCTCTATTGGCAGCAGCGTCTTCAAGTGTCAATCTTCACGAGCTGCTTTCACATTGATGAGAGCACCATGTGCTAAAGAAATCACCTGAGCTTCGTGGAACACGTACGTGCATCCACTTGCACGCTAAATGCGTGACCAGAAGAAACATTTACTTTCTAACACTTGGAATGCTTTTGCAGGCAATCAATGAGACATTTTTCGGTTAGACACACGCAGCAACCACCACACTTCAAAGGTATCACAAAGACGACGCCCCGTTCACAACCTACAAATCCATCGCGGTGCTTCCAGTCACCATCGCGTTCCCGCTTCTTCGTAAATGACGATGTCTAATGGTCCAACGTTGCACTCCAGCTTAGCACAGATCCCAATCCACGGCACCTGCTCACCTGTTGGCTTCTGGTTACTTATTTAGGTTCGAAATCCATCCAAACCCGCACGGACTTCGTTCGCTGCCACGAACACCGTAGTGTTGTCGGTCGCTGCCATCTTGTCTGCTTTATTTCGGCTGTTCGGGATCTCGCGAGAGCCACTGCTAAGGTACCCAACGGCTGTAGCGTGCGCAGCGTAAGAGCCGAGATCTAGTGTGCGCATCTCTCTGGCGTACTGCTCATGCGCACTCTTGCTCCCTGTTGCGCGTTGGGTACGCAAGGCAGTTGGCGCGGTAAACTAAAACTCTCTAATAACACGTGTCTCAGAGAGAGTACCGAAGCTCGAGTTTGCCAGTGAGTGTAAAAACAATTGCTGACGTTTATACTTGTCCATGTCGCCTGCATCGTGTCATTCAGGCGGTGTTTCGTGTCGTATACCACACATTTCAGTAAAGCCTGCATATCATTTGTTCTCTTTCTACTTTTTTTCACCGCTGGTACAACGTATGCATACTGTTTTGATCAGGCGTCACAAACAAAAGACCCACCACCTTCTCACTAAAGGCACGGCCCTCAGATGAATGCCTGTTCAGCATTGCTTTTTTTTTATTTTCTCAATAAGTTGTTTCATACGCTACCCAGACGACGGTTGTCGCTGCTCTCAGGCATCTTTTCCCGTGAGGCTCTCGATTCAGTTTCCACGTGCTCAAACATTACCTTGAGGCTATATTTCGGAATACTTATTTTCATTTGCTATTCTAGAGATGAGTATCGACACGCACCCGACATCGAATTTATTTTATAAGTCACCAACATACGAGATATGCGAAAGGGTTCTTTTGGATGCCAATGTTTGCTTACACTTCACCCAAACAGCACTACAACGCTTGGTGCAGAAAGAGGAATACGAATGAAATTGATGCATTACAAAAAAAAACCCGGGTGCCCCGCCGCGGTGGTCTAGTGGCTTAGGTACTCGGCTGCTGACCCGCAGGTTGCGGGATTGAATTCCGGCTCCGGCGGCTGCATTTTCGATGGAGGTGGAAATGCTGTGGGCCCGTGTGCTCAAATTTGGGTGCACGTTAAAGAACCCTAGGTGGTCCGAATTTCTGGAGCCCTCCACTACGGCGTCTGTCATAATCATATTGTGGTAATGGGACGTTAAACCCCACATATCTGTCTAATAGAACCCGGGAGGTATGTCGACGAAGGCATATCTCAATTTTTGGCGAAGCAAAAGTATGCGTGCATGTTGCACACTTATCCACTTCATAGCGACAAACCAAAAGGTGTAATTTTTGAGGTGGTCCTCTAGAATTAAGTTCAATGTAACATACTGATTAAGATGACAGACAGATGCAGATAACAGAAATGAACTTCTCGAGATGTGCAGCCGCAGGGTTATCGCATTCTTCTGGAATTAAACCCTTACCATACGCGGGCGTAAGCGGTTGATCCCTTGTTTCGGAAAACTGATTTACTGGCTGAAGAAAAAGGATGAAAATGAAGGGATTAGTTATTATGAGTAATAATTTAAACTTGTAAGACTTGAAAAAAAACTTCTTTAAAAATTATAATGAAGACGTACAAAAAACACGTCTGAACGATATTTTATTTATTATTTATTTATTTGATTTGCATACGCAGATACACAAGGACACAGGTTAAAGAGGGAGAGAACAAGCTGGCAACTGCCCCCAGGAGGGGCAAAACGCCAGCTCACTCTTTCGGGAGGAGGGAAGAAACAGAGGAAACAAAGATTAGGTGAGAGAAAGGGGAAAGAAGTTGAGGAAGAGAGAAAAAATGACGTATATTTTGACAAGTATAAGTGAAAAAAATAATAAATCATAAAAAAAATAAAAAGGAAAAAAATAATGATAAAAAAGATCGTCTATAAACGGGTGGCCAGGTCCGTTTGGTTCATAAATGTAAGGAGAGCTCGGTGGGCCTGGTCACGTCGGGAAGGACTACCACTCGGAGAGAGGTTGTCGTTTAGGGTCGCGTACTTGATTCCTAGGAATTAATATTTCTTAATCAGCAAATACCACTGCGTAGCAAATGTGGGACAGTGCACTACGAGATGCTCAGATGTTTTGCAGGAGCCACAAGCTGCGCACAACGGGCTGTCCACGCGCCCTTGACGTTGTAATCGTTCACGCACCAGCACAGAGCCCCCTCTTAGTTTGTACAGCAGAGCTCGAGAACTACGAGGCAAGCCACGGCCACGAACATGGGGAGGAAACGATTCATTCGCCACACGCTGGTTTGGGTGCTGCTTTGAGAGGTGTTGGCGTATAAGCAGACAAGCGTTGTTCATCATACATAGAATTCCTGGACAGTCACAGCCGTCATGGTTGCATGGCGAAGCAAGGCGATCCGCTTCTTCATTGCCCGCGATACCCACGTGTGAAGGTACCCACTGTGCAGCTAGTCATACCCCACGTGACAGAATATTGTTAATGGATTCCATGATGCTGCTCAGAATAGGGCTGTCGGTCTCCTTGCTGGTGAGTCTACTAAGGACACCACGAGAGTCGGTGAGGATGACAACCTTCGATGCTGGTAACCCTTCTTGTACGTACTTAAGGGCGACATCAATCGCTGCAAGCTCGGCTGTCACCGACGATGAGGGGCGCGGTATTTTAAACAACCGCCTAATATCGGTTGAAGGGCAAAAGAAAGCTGCAGGTGCGCTCAGG